GGGAGATTTCAATTTACCCTGTATATCTTGGAATGTGTTAGGCCCAACGTATATGAAGAAGGGCAGTATTGAAGTACAAAATGCTGCAATTAAATTGTCTGAAGACTTAGCATTTCTTGGGCTAAAACAATATAATATTATAAAGAATCACGCGGGAAATACCCTAGATTTGGCATTCTCAAATCTTCCAATTGATATTGTTGGTAGTTCTTTTCCTTTAGTTAACCTAGACCGCGCTCATCCAGCTTTAATAATAAATGTTCAAGACCTTATAATTACGCCCTTGGTGGAATTGTCGACACCGAGGCGTAACTTTATAAAAAGTGACTTTAAATCAATAAATAGTATATTTAAAAATACAAACTGGGATTCTCTTTTTCGATCACTCACTGTTGAAGAAGCTGTTACAGTTTTTTATCAAACAATAAATGTAGCAATAGAAAAACATGTTCCCTTTAAAAAAACACAAGGTAGTCGTAAATATCCAGTATGGTATAGTTCCGCACTGCTAAATATCATAAAAGAAAAATCTAAAGCCCATAAAAGATGGAAAAAATTTGGCAACTTACTAGACTACGATGAATTCTCTTTATTGCGCAGGTGACAGCAACTTGTACAAGAGGAATGTTTTGCAAAATTTATAAAAAATGCTGAAGAATCTATTGTGAACAAACCAAAAATGATATGGACATATATTAAATCAATGCGTGGAGGCTCTGGCTATCCTAAAACACTCACATATAAAGGAAAAAATGTTACTGAGGGTGAGAACATATGTAATGCCTTCAGCGAATTCTTTCAAAGCGTGTTCGGAACAAAATCCAATGAAACTACAAGTACATTTAACGATTATTTAGATACTGACACTATATCCAAAATAATTATATCCTCTGATGTAGTCGAAAACAAGTTAAAATTATTAGATGTTAACAAGGGGCCTGGTTGTGATGGAATACCACCTGTTTTTTGGAAAAACTGCGCCGAAACACTAAGTCTCCCTTTATCTTTGATTTTTAACATGTCTTTGAATAGCGGGAATTTCCCTAAACTTTGGAAACAGGCACATATAGTTCCGATACATAAGAAAGGGACAAAAACAAAAGTCGAGAATTACAGAGGAATTTCGATATTAAATACGGTTGCAAAGGTTTTCGAAAAATTAGTTTATAATTCTATATACCCAGTAATTACTAAAGGGCTACCAGACACCCAACACGGCTTTCTCAGACAACGTTCAACTCTCACTAATTTGGCATGTTTCTCGAATTTTGTTTTAACAAATATGGAAAAAGGAGGCCAGGTTGACGTAATCTACACGGACTTCGAAAAAGCGTTTGACCGTGTGGATCACGTCATTCTTATTAATAAACTTCAAGGACACTTATACACGGTGACTTGCTTAGGTGGATTGAATCCTATCTTATTAATCGCTCTCAGGCAGTCGTTGTGGGGGGTTACAGGTCTGATTTTATTGATATTCCCACGGGCATCCCTCAAGGTTCGCATTTAGGTCCATTACTATATAATGTCTATACATCAGATATAGCATCCTGCTTTAAATCGACGAGACACTTAATGTATGCAGATGACAAAAAAATTTTCATGAAAATACATGATGAACAGGATTGTTGTGGAATACAATCAGATTTAAATGTGTTATCACAATACTACAAAAAGAATAACATAACTGTAAACATTAATAAATGTGAATGCATCACTTTTACCAGAAAAGTCAGACCTATAATCTACCCTTATAAATCAAATGATCAGCCTATCCGTAGAACTTCATCAGTTAGGGACTTAGGCGTGCTTTTTGACGAAAAAATGATTCTTAGGGATCACATAGACAGCATAGCTAATAAAGCTTTTAAAAACCTGGGATTTGTCTTACGTTCTAGTAAACATTTTAAAAACCTAAATACAATTAAAAACTTATACTTCGCATATGTGCGTAGCGTTATCGAATATGCTAGCCCAATATGGAACCCGAATTACAAAGTCTACCAACATCGTTTAGAACGAATTCAAAAGATATTTATAAAAAGCCTAAATTACCGTTTTCGTAAACCAAGTCTAAATACGTATGGGGAGAATTGCGAGCAATATAATTTATTAACATTAGAAGACAGACGAAAATTAATGGATTTATGTTTTCTATATGATATAGTGCATGCTAATATAGACTACGCCGAATTGGTAGAAGGTATATCGTACAGAGTACCAACCCGTCGTTCCTTCCGGCGACCTACCCCCTTGTTTTTGCCCCCTCATGCCTCCACAAACTACGCACGTAATGCACCGATCTCTCGTTTACCACAAGTATATAATTCTACATTTAAGGAAATTGATTTGCTTACGCACAGTAAAAATACTACCAAAAAACAAGCAATAAAAATTCTTAAAATAAAAGGGTATACATAAATAAAATAATGATGGTTTGTAAAAGATAATGCTTTGATTAAACGAAATTAATAATAAAATAAATAAATTTAAAAGTAACAAGAATGACACATAAACACCTAAAATTAAGGACATATTATATTTTAGAACTGTACTGTGTTGAATTTAACCATAACACGAATGCTTACTCTGGTGGTGGAGCAATCTTAGATTCTTTCCAACACATTATTTATTTATATTATTTTATATAAGTTACATTTGATTATTTACATTGTTTAATTTATTTAAGTATAAGATTAGTTTTGCAAAAACCTTAATGACATTTGAAGGGTATCTTTGATCCCAATGTCTCCGAACGAAGGCAATTAGTAGATTTTTTTTGTCTTCTTAGATTTTCGATTAAATTGAATATGATAGTTAAAGTTCTTTAAAAACAATTTCATGAGTTACATCTGCCTAAACAAATAATTATGTATTTAGAGGAAACCTGTAATTAGCTTTACTTTTAGATTATACTTTAGACCCATGTGGGTATGCATATATACTTTGTAACGCAGTTGGTTTCTAAATAAATAAAATAAAATAAAAATAAAGCAAAATTAGTGAAAACAAGTAAATAACAGAATAAAGAGAAATGCCGGTAAGTGTCCAGCACTCTGGAATAGTGATTTTCAGTACAGAAGAAATTATTATACGTATTTACAAAATGATGAATAGTGTGTGATATTTTTGAAATTATGTGTTTCCAGGAATAAATAATAAGATATATGATGATGCCTGATGAATATCGATGATGTTATATGATAAAATGTGCGAAATGGAACCAATGATAATCGAAACCATGGGTCGAAACCATATTAAGGTACGTTACAATAGGCTACGTTTTACTGCGAGAAAATATCCCTAATCAACGGCGGGTAACACCGCGGGGCACAGCTCGTTAAATAATAAATATACGTTTTTCGACATCCTAGAATACAATCGGTTGTTATACAAATGTTACAAAATTGGTACCAAGTTTATAGTAAGGTACGCGATAACAACACGAAAGACTGACAGCTACCTTTGCTTTAGTAGCAAAACTGTATTAGGGCAGAGTAGTATCTAAATTCCAATGTCACTAGACTATAGGGACGACGACTAACTTTTTCTTTGCTTATCATGTAGATATTGAAAAGTATTGGACACTTATTTTTCTTGATTGACATAATCAAAACATTACAGTAATATCTTAAATTGAAATGGCGCATGACGTCACGTCTTGACACAATTTTTATTTAGAAGTGACGTCACAAGCACCCACTGCCTAACTTTGAGACGCGCTTTACCTTTGTAATTTTAGTTGACTAATAAAAAAAAAAAGTGTCATTTATTATCTGACGTAATAAATAGAATTTCTTTCATCTCTATCAAGTAGCACCATTTTTGCCGCCCCCAATGGTTGTTCCGTTTCTGGCAGTTTCCCACGTCGCCATTGTACTTCGCACCGTCAAAGTTTCTATGAAAACTAAGCAGTGCTCCTATCGGACGTTAAAATAAACTAGTCTTTCCCATACAAATTTTCACCATTTAATTTCAGTCCATTGTACTTCTACGAGTATCAATTGCGCGAGCGCTTCCCAGCTCGTCGGTTTCACGGAAAACTATTGATTTTGACTACACTTGTCGCTAGTTGCGAATAAATCTGCTTGAAACTACGTGAAAATGCCTATTAATGTAGACTAGCAAACCAGTGAACCAAATGTTCACCAAAAAAAAAATGTATTTAATTAATTGAGAACTTCGGAGATTTTGTGTGGTTTCGTTTGAAATAGAAATCACGTGATTTCTCGAAAACCGGAAGTGCTACGTTACTCAAATCCGGTTTGTAGTCTTATCAGACTATTCTTAACTTATAACTTAAACATTCTCTTTATCTATCTCTTACGGTTTGGCCGCTGAAACAGCACCACGGACGGACGGACTTGTCTATTAGATAAGAGACTAGCAAACTTGTGAACCAAATGTTCACCAAAAAAAAAATGTATTTAATTAATTGAGAACTTCGGAGATTTTGTGTGGTTTCGTTTGAAATAGAAATCACGTGATTTCTCGAAAACCGGAAGTGCTACGTTACTCACATCCGGTTTGTAGTCTTATCAGACTATTCTTAACTTATAACTTATACATTCTCTATATCTATCTCTTACGGTTTGGCCGCTGAAACAGCACCACGGACGGACGGACGGACTTGTCTATTAGATAAGAGATTATGCTCTATGATTTCACTATTACATAACTGGATGTTATTGGTCTTCTAACGCCAGTTTTGCCGCCTCCTATAGTTCTTGTGTTTCCGACAGTTTTATACTTTGCACCGTCAGAGTTTCTTTGAAAACAAAGTAGCAACAACCCCTATCGGACGTAACAACAAACTAGCCTTTTCCATATAATATATGGAAAAAAACATAACGTTGCATTTTCTCTTACGTCGTTTGGAGCAGCGACAAAACAATACATTATACAGGCATAAGATATCATGCTAACATGATGCCTACTAATTGCAAAAAAATAAACTGCGTGTGAACGATAATTATGCTCTGTGATTTCCCTATACATACCTGGATCTTCTTGGTCTTCTAACGCCAGTTTTGCCGTCTCCAATGGTTGTTCCGTTTCCAACAGTTTCCCCCGTCTCCATTGTACTTCTATCAATTGCGCGAGCGCTTCCCAGCTCGTCGGTTTCACGGATAATATTTGAGTCAAGTGTCGCTGAGCTGTTTCAAGATCCACCTGTGTCGATTGTTTTATTAAAAACAACATGTAAAAACACATTTTGATGACATGACTTAGCTAGTGACGCTAGATTGAAGGAAACGTTATAAAATGAGACCAAATTAACCATAAGCTTAAGTGATTATTTTTAGGGTTAGCGAGAAAGACTACAACTCGGGAACAATGAACTTTATTTACGGTGTTATAATAAAAAGGCAAATTATTCATAGATTTTTGGAATTTTACTCATTACACTGTTGGCGGAGCCGAGTCCAGTTTTTGCCCAATGTCCTTTACGTTATAAAACAATTAAATCATAAAATTAACTCCACTAAATAAATTTTAAAAGGAATTTATGTATTTCCCACCTTGCGGAACGCCAAATCAGCCATCATGACCGCCGCTGACTCGTTGTTGGGGTCAGCGTTTAACAGTACTGCGCAAGTCTGCTCGCATTTCTCCGAATAATTTATCTGGAATAATGATTCACGTAGATAATTATTGTGTGTCTTCATCATCTCCATCGGTGTATTAATAACTAATGCCAGCTGTCGCAGGTTATACGTAGGGGTTATTCGAAGTATGGCTCTATATGGAGCTCCGGTATGGTGGAACGCAATGAATAAAGCAAATGGGGCGCAACTCAGAAGACCCCAAAAGATGGTGGTCCTCAGAAATATAAGAGGCTATCGCACTGTTTCTTGGGAGGCATATTGCACTTTCCTTTCTCTTGGATGTATACCAGGGGAAATCTGCGGCTCGGGAGCGTGGAGAGAGAGCCACCCTCGAGGAATTAGTGCGAATAAGGCGGGAAATACGAGGGGAGGTCAAAAAGTTCGCGGAATAAGAGGGAAGGAGGTTGAAATTAAACATCAAACTATTTTTCCTTTTCAATATATTTTCCCTTAAACATATATATACCCTTATACATTTTTCAGACCTCTCAAATAACTTGTTCATACCATCGAAAAAAAAGATTTGTCTTTGGTGTCAAAATAGGTCGAAATTGTGGACTTCACTTCTTTATCGTCGTCAATTTTTTTTCCACGCAGCTCTTTCTTCATTTTTGGAAATAAATAATAGTCACTGGGTGCCACGTCTGGACTGTAGGGTGGGTGGTTCAATTGTTCGAAGCCGCATCGATGAATGGCAGCCGTCGCAACAGGGCACGTGTGAACGGGTGCATTGTCGTGCAAAAGGAGCACACCTTTTGATAGCTTTCCTTTTCTTTTTTCCTTGATGGCTTCTTTCCATCTCTCCAATAAAGAAGCGTAGTACTGTTACGTTATAGTCACACCACGTTCTTTATAATCGAACAGTAAAATACCTTCTGTATCACAAAAGACAATCGCCATGATCTTGTCAGCCGATTGTGTCACTTTGAACTTCTTTGGAGGAGGTGTGCCTTTTTTATGCCACTGCATCGACTCTTGCTTTGACTCAGGTTTATAATGGTGAACCCAGGTTTCATCACCAGTAACGATTCAGGCCATAACTTCTTCCTTTCTCTCTCCACAGAGCTCCAAAACCTGGCGAGAACACTCGAAACGGTCGCGTTTTTGAAGTGGCGTGAGCATTCTCGGAACCCATCTTGCACTGGCCTTAGTCATCCCAAGATGATGATGTGGAATATTCAAATACTTGTTTCGCATACTCCAATCATTGCTGCAAGCTCCTTTTTCTTCAACCGGGCATGTTCCAATACAAGTATTTCTACTTTTTCGACGTTTTCCGGTGTGGTGGCCTCAATTGGCTGTCCGGAGCAAGGGTCGTCTTCAATGGACTCTCTTCCTTGTTTGAAAAGACCATGCCACTTGTTAACCATGGTTTTACCAGGGGCCGAGTCCACGTAAACCGCCAACAGCTCTTGAAATAATCTGAACGGATTTTCCTTGGTAAGGAACTTAATAACGGCGCGGTGTTCAATTTTCTCCATACTGGCTGACTTCTTCCCGATTCAGTTGTTTGTAGGTCGATAACTCAAAAGTTAATAACCTGATTAGGTTCAAACTTGGTATATATACTCTTAATGAGGTGCTCAACTAGTGCCTACCTGGAGGAGTAAACCTACCCCCACCAACCCCTCCATTCCGGGAACTTATTGACCTTCCCTCGTAGAAGAGGCTCAGATGGAAGCTTGGAAACTCCGTCTGGGTAACCCTACATGGGGTGTCCGGACTGTAGCGGCAATTTATCCGGTCTTGCAGGAGTGGACAAGCAGAAACTTTGGAGTACTGACCTACAGGCTAGTGTAGGTGCTGTCTGGGCACGGATGCTTTGAGAAGTACCTGCATCGAATCCAGAGGGAGGTGGTGTTTCTGGTGTTGTTGTTGGTATTTAATGAGTCATTAAATACCTACTAACGAAATAAGTATATGTTGAATAAATGATTTGATTCGACTTTCATTTTACCTAATTCATCTTAATATTTATTTCAATAGACATACGGTTTATTATTGTCCATTTGTAATGTGCGATTTAATGAGAGGTGTTATGATAAATTAAACTTTTTATGCAAGTGTATAAGATGGAATTTCTTATGATTTATATGACTAAGTGTCACTTATTAATAAATATCATGGGTAATGTTTCGAGTGATAGTGATATTACCATAGAGGTAATATCACTATCACAAATAAGAATAGAGTAGGGGAGATATAGACTCTACTACAAGTGAAAGTGTCCCTCTAATAGAAAGAGAAAGAAGATGAGAGACCGCGCTAGCTTTCTCTCTCTAATCGCGAATGCGCATTGCATCTTAACTATAAATCAAGCATCTTACTATTTCGATGTGATGCCATTTGGGTGTCATGCGCCACTAGGGAGAGAGAGATAGCTAGCGGTTTCTCTTCATCTTTCTCTTTCTACTAGACGGACACTATTAGAGCCGCCTTCCCCACTCTATTCTTATACTTCTATGGATATTACTCAGCGAGTAATGTAATATTATATTACATTACGCCATAGAGCACTGTTTTGCGCATGTCTACTCACGTGTGCATATAATTTAGCCAGCGCCAGTAATGTCGAAGGATCTTTTGGCAAATGGATCAACGCTTCCGAATACAGATTCGTTGCTACGGCTGGTTCTCTGAACGATTTTACTTTAGCCAATGCACAAAGCACCGTTGACAATTTCTGCTTCTCTTCCTGCAAATCTCCTCTTGCATCTATTTCTATTCTTTTAACTATCGCCGTCTGTATGTCTCTAGCTTCAGCCAAGATTAAGTTAGTATTGCCAGCTGTAGGGTTTTTCATTTCCCTACATTTTGCTTGTATCAGAAGGTAACGTACACGCCTCTTGAGTGAATTAATGTCCTTTTCTTTATTGTACAACTGGTTCAATTCATATGATATTGTGGAATCTACCTTATCGTAATGTTTTAGCTGTGAAAAATATAGGTATATAAAAAAAAACAAAATATAAACATAAGAAACACATATAGATATATATTGTTTAAGACTATCTTGGTCACTAACATTACATAGATAAGCGGGAATTATTGTTCTTCGTAAATCCAAGATCATTGCACTTGCAGCAGTTCGGAAATATTTCTTATGGTAGCAATCCCGTTAATTATTGTAATGGCAAAGAATCAAACGTGAGACTATGAAAAACTCCCGACCACCTTAACGATAAACATTTGATACCTATGCCTCTAGCCTAATTTTAAAACTACTAACTAGCAAAAAATGTCTCAATGTATAAAAAGTTGAAATAACTACAAAACAATATATTTAACTCACTTTAATGAGCAGCTCGAGGTATTCGAACATGATATCGTCATCTTTCAACTGTTTAACGGCGTTTTCATAATGTTGGGTCGCTCTGTCGTACTCATGCATCTTGACCAAGGCGTTGCCGAGCTTTTTAATCAATTGTATGTCTTTGGGGTTGCCCTTTAAAGCTGCTTCGTAAGATTCCACCGCTTGGACTGGCTCTGTGCAAGATAAAGCAACTTATAAGAAACAATTGTTTTTTTTTGATAAAAATATTTAAAAACATTAGCACGAGTAAGCAACTTGAGTTGTTTTGTAAGAGAATGAATAAATATTTTTTGAGAATGTATTTAAATATATAAGTTTAGCAGTTTTATACTTAAATAGAACATCTGATTTTTCTGCTAGTGTGCTGCAATGACATAAAATTTAGGCTTCCTAAGTCTATAACTCAGACCAAATAAAAAGTATAGACGGAGTCTGCCGAACCAAAAAGTGAAGCCGATAAAACTACGCCTCGCCGTGTACATACACAGTTACACGCACACACATGCAACGAAACTACGCCTTGGCTTCTCAGTCGAGCTATCCCGACGCGCGGAGTGTGACGTAATAATAAATAACAATATTTATTAGAGAAAATGCCGAATTGTGTAGTGAAAACGTGTAAAAACCAATCTTCCAAGAATAAAAAACAGGATGGAATCACATTTCATACGTAAGTAAAGTTATAAACTGCTATTTTCAATTAATCAAAATCAAATTTGAGGTTGTCGCTTTGTAAACAAAACCTGAACGAAATGTTGCCATGATTATTCGTTATAGTTTTACCCTTTTGTTGGGTAGCGTGAAATATAACGTAACGTTATTTTATTATATACATTGTGTGGCATACTTTTATATTATTCGAATATTGTAATGCATGGATAAACAATTACACGAAACACCTTTTTTCTTTATGTATTCGTTTAATTTTTTTGGGATGTAATACACATTATTTAATATACGTTCTTTTTAAGATTTCCTAATCGAGATCAAGATCTAAAAGAGAAATGGATTGCAGTCATTCGTAAGAGTAGAAATGCACCATTGTGGCAACCAGCTTCCCGCAGCGTGGTTTGTTCGACTCATTTTCAGAGCGACGATTTGTAAAATAATAATATATTTGTAATTTTATTTGTATTGTACTTTTTAATGGCCTTTTTGACCCAAAATTCGCGATGTTTGTGGATTTATTTTATTATGTTCTTGTATAGGAACTAGTGATTATATTTTATGTATTCTATAGAAAATTTCATGTACATTTTAATAAAAGAAACTGTTTATCAACATTTGTATATGCTTTTCGGTTTATCGACATAAAGTTGAGATGACTGATTTGTAAGCGATTTCAAGTGCCTTGTTGCGAGTGCTTGAAACTATAAAATGAACAAACCTATTCCATCCGAGACTTGTAACTAAAGTAAAATAATCAATCCAACATAATTAAACGTCAACACATAAATCAAGGCACTTGGATCTCGCATTTGTTTTTATCAACACTTGCAACACGACCCTTTTTTTCTGTTGCGTATTATATTTTATAATTGTATTTGGTAAGTTATTATATACATTCATTCATATATAGTACATTCTATATGTACAAAAACCTGGATTTATAATTTACAAATTTTGAAAATACACCTCATTTTATCTATTTATCTTTCCTGAGTTTACCATAATGTAATTAAAATAAATTATAGACATGACGCATTGTGTACACACTGTTTTATTGAAAATTTTATGGAGAATCCAAATATACGTTTGTATTTTTACAAAATAACAGAGAAATCGGCAGAACAATGCAATCGTTCCCACCCAGCGGGCGAGCGGTCCATAAAGAAGTCCGGCACTTGTAGGTGAGAACGGCGCATGACCTTTGGCTCACGAGAGGTTTAGAGAATAAGCTTACGATATTTTTTCTAATATTTTATAACGTTATTAAAAATGTAATAACGTTATGAAATAACGTTATTACATTTTTCTAATATTGGGGTGTTTCATATGACTATGGTAACACTGGCTAATGCACTACATACATAAAAAACCGGCTTCACTTTTTGGTTCGGCAGACTCCGTCTTTACTTTTTATTTGGTCTGAGGTCTATAATTGATTTAATTGAAACAGTAGTCCTCTTCAAGTAAGATGATTTATTTAGGTATTTTGTTTTCAAAATTGTGTTGGACAAGGCGATTTAAGCGTTTTACAGTTTTAGTAATACTAATATATTAGATATTGATATAGTGTATTAGATATAGTGGTGGGATGTCGAGTGCTTTATATCCTTAAAGATAGAGCACAATATGTCAAAGAGACATCAATCAAAGAGTCGCCATTTTGATGAAGGAACGCGATTTTGTCTTTTTTTTAAATCGCCTCGCAGGCTACGATGTTTTATAGTTGTAGATGCGTGATACACGCTTCAAATTTGGCAACATGAAAGACAGGTTATTGCCCGACTTTGATTCAGTCGGGCATGCTCTCTCGCCACGGCTACACTTAGCTACACCGTGTAAATATTTACGTTTTTCCAGACAAAAAGCCCTATGTGTGTTTTAATGTAGTACACAAATTTCACGGGAACTATTAGAGACAAGAGCAACGTGTGATTTCATTCGTAAGTACAATTATTTTAAAGGAATTCATGTAAAAATATTTAGTGATTACTTATTTTGACAGTTGCTGACACCGTTGACACGTGGAGACTAGAGAGCGAGATGTTCTTCATGCATGAGAGTAAAGGAGACTACTTTAGTGCATTCTATTGGCGGCTGTTGCCAAGGGAAGTTGGGGCGGGAACTTCTTGGGCCATTTTAAAATGCAATGATGTTGGCATATATACTGTCTATATATTATACGTCATTGTTCCCAGGGGCCTAATTGTGTCTTTTTAAAGATATATCCGATCCTATTCGCTTTTTGTGATCGTTATAATTTCATAGCTGAAAGATAGTTTTGTTGTCACATTTACACTAAATAGTGTAAATTTGAATGAATTTTTTGAAATGAATAGTGAGAAAAGTTGCAATTATATAATTGTGCCCCGGTTTATATAAAAAATATATTACGAACCATGAATAGACATGTAGGCATCCCCCATCATAGTGTGTGCGTCAGCCATAGGATGACTGTTGACGATCTCTTTGAAGCATGCTGTGAACATGGCACGGTCATTCTTCTCCTTCAAATAAATGTGCGCCATTTTACTGTGCGCTTGGAAGAAGTAGGGTTGTCCAGGCTTTATTTCATTAAGAACATCGATAGCACTGTCTACATCGCCTTTCTTTAGAGCTAAATCAGCTTTGGCTATTGATAAACGACTTTCCTCTGAGGTGAAAGAAAGTTCTTGTATGGCTTCCTGAAAATTCATTAATTATTGAAGAATCAGAATTGTAGATTAATAAATATATACTTTATCAGCCTTGATTTGCAAAAGAATATTTCAATATTAGGACGCACTAAGAAAGTTAGGTCATCTTATTGTTTTGCTAAAAGGAGCCTTTGTATTCCATAATTACTTGATTTTCTGAAGTATAATAATTACCTGCATGACTTTTCCAGCTTCAGCAAACTGTCCCAATACAGTGTTTATCTCAATTATTTGCAAAAATAATGTAGCTTTGTCAATAATATTTAAATCTGAATCGTAAAGCCGGCTTGAATTATTTGATGTTTTACTTGTCGCTATCTGCAAACTGGTGGTAAAACTAGAGAGAGCTTCTTGAATTTGATTCACACTTTTTAAAATAACTCCATTGAGAAAGTGATACATAGCACTGTCTCTTACTTTAAAATTATAGCTTAAACACATTTCTAAGCACTGGGCAGCTTTTGTGAATGATTGCTGTTGAATATAAATTTGAGCTAGCAAAATTTGAGAGCCAGCATGAGTACCGTCGATTTCATTAATTTTCTCAGCTAACTTCTGTGCATCAACTGCATAGCCAAACAAGAATTTTAGTTTAGCTAACTCATATAAACCAGCTATTAATCCTGGGCATGCTTCACATATGGTGTTCAGTAATTTGAAGCAATTGGTGACGGCAGAATTATTTCCTTCTTGGAAGTATAATATGTACCCAAAAATTATATAAGGCTTCTTTGGTAAATGTTTTCTGTATTCTTTAAAGACATCTAAAAGAAAATCCGGATCTAATTCTTTGATATAATTCAAGCTGTAAGGGTATAGATTGGCATAGGCCAGTCTTGCTTCAAACGCAGTATTAAGAAATGAAATAGCATGAGCTGAATTTTTTACATTCAGCTGGGCAGACAGTAGATACAAAATAGGTAACTTATTGTTCCCTTGCATTTCAAATAACAATTCCACTTGCTGTGCTATTTGATCTGTTGGCCCATTTTCAAACATTTGACAAAGTGTCAATCCACATAAGGCCGTGATTGAATTGCTGTCGATCTTACTTGCTGCTTTGAAAAAGTTCAATGAATCTTTGTATTTTCCTTGCAGAATGCACTGATATCCAACTTCACTTAAATATTCCACATTATTAGAATACATTTCAGATGCATATTGTGCACATCTATAAACTTGTGATAGTACTGCACTAGATCTGCCACAAATTCTCGAAAATATTTGTGTAACTGTATAGAATTGGTAACCATTATGAGTTTCTTCATTTTCAAGAATGGAAAAGAGCTTATTGAGTTGATCAGCTGCTTCTATGTAATCAGAGTTTTTGCAGAGAGTGAGAAATATTTTAATTTTATGTGCTTCTATATTCTCAGGTTCTATAGCAGATATTCTCTCCATTGTATCATAAACAGCTTCCCATTTTTGCAATGCAAATTCATTTTTCATTTTCTCAACAAGAGGTACAACCTGTCCAGGATTGTTCACTATAAGTTTATCCAAAGTCATATTAGATGCTTCAAAATCTTTATTAAAGTATTTGAATCTGGCCAATCCAAGTAGAGCTTCAATATTTCTGTCACTTTTATTTAAAACTAGTTCTAGGCAATCCAAAATCGACATTTGGATGTTACCTAAATTCATATACATATCATTCCAACCTTTCAAAATTAGAGCTTCTAAATTGTTAGAATCTTTTCTCAAAGCTTTATTTATATATTCTGAAGCTCTTTCATATTTATCAGCTAGTGACAGAAATAAACCAGCATAGTAGAATGACATAGTTGTTGCTTGTTTCTTTTCCTCCTTTAACTTGGTTTCAAGATTATGTAGCACATCTCTATCTGATACATTAGTAGTTTTATATCCATATATCAGTGCCATAACTACAGCTAATTGTACGTCTTTATCTGATTGCAATGGAGTGAGTTCATTGATGCCCTTCTGCACTTGCCCTTGTAGTATACTAGCCAACCCATTGTAGAAATCAAATTCAGCTGTGTCATGAAAATGAGAACATGCTTGTAATGCAAGATTCTTGACTTTATTGTAATATTTTTCTCTTAAATAATAATGAACATTACATCTAAACCACAATAAATCCATTTTGATTATTCTAAGTCCAACTTGATCTTAATATCTTTGTATTTGTTTATGTTATCCTCATAGTACTTTGCTAGGAAGTGGCATTTGCATGTAACATCTAGTTTGTTTTCAAGTGCATAGTTAAATGCATACTGAAAAGAAGGAAATCACATTTATTTTATTGTTCAGTCTTGAAAGAAAATATATGAGTATATCATTGCATTTCTAAGATTTAGAATTTAAAGTATTTAAGTTTCATACAGAGATAATATAAAATATAGGAGAATGGTACTAACCTTGGCTAATACTTTCCCAACACCTTTACCTTGAAATTCTTGTGGCACATTTGTGTGTATGAATGTTATGTTTTGACCACTTCTGTCGTAGCTCAACTGTGCATCGACTGGAATATACCATAATATATTAATTCAAACAAATGTTGTCACAGATAATATTATTATACAATACTAGCTTACCCGGCAAACATTGTTTTGCCATGTATATTATTTGTAGGAAACATTTTTTTAGTTCAATAATAATTTTTTGGCAGGAGATCACAACACGTGTTTATTTGTATGAGATCACTTAATTAACTTATAGTTAAAACTGTCTTTATCAGTTACTAATAAAATGTGAAAAAATAAGTATTGTACTGGAAATTAATAATAAATTCACGTTGAGAGTAAAATTAACCTAATAGATGCACAGAAAAATTAAAATAATACGTATAAGTCACTGCTACGATTGATACACATTTGTGTATCGATCGTAGGTTTCATTTGAAACCAAAAAAAATGGCCAAAAACTGTATATTGAGGAAGACAGGAGACCGGCTTCCTTCTCATCCCTACTCCGTGATGTTTGCTGGATGAGAGGTGACCCAGGTAGACATCTAGCGGGGATAACTGATCGATTGATCGTTGATCGGTTATTGACCGGTGAAGGCGGAAGATCAAAAGAGGTGACCCAGGTAGACATCTAGCGGGGATAACTGATCGATTGATCGTTGATCGGTTATCGACCGGTGAAGGCGGAAGATCAAAAGAGGTGACCCAGGTAGACATCTAGGGCGGATAACTGATCGATTGATCGTTGATCGGTTATCGACCGGTGAAGACGGAAGATCAAATTGAATTAAGAAAAAAAAGAAATTATTAAAAATAAAAATCGTGATGGTAAAATAGGGGCTGATTGTAAAGGGTTGAAAATTCAGAGTTATATGTATTTACTAATGCTGTATCATAAAAAAAAAAAAAATATCTAAAAATGAAAAAAAAAATTTAGGGGTGGATTACCCTTAACATTTAGGGGGATGAAAAATAGATGTTGTCCGATTCTCAGACCTACCCAATATGCACACAAAATTTCATGAGAATCGGGAAAGCCGTTTCGGAATTAAATAAATTAATAACCCAAATAATAAGAAACATAACAGGTTTTTTATTTGAACACAAATTTCAAGTAAAATCTCATATTTAAACAATATAGCAAAACAACAAATTAGTTTACACCTAGTTGCCCTTGGTTTGCTTTATAATTTGGATAGTAATTAAATATTTTTTTCAATAACTATGCTAAAATATTATTATTTCCAATCAATGTTGCCAAGTTGTGGGGATTTCTCTGTATAATATATGTGATGTGTGATATGAATATCAAACATTTGTTTTAATGAATCATTGGGAACATTTGTTCTGAATTAAATAAATACTAAATGATAAGATATATAAGTCAGTTGTGAACCAAGCGTGGGATTTAATTTATATAAAGTCTCCATCAGAAACTGCATTTTTGATTGAAAGCGTAATTACATATCTATATTTGTATACAATACATCTTGTTTACGTCTTTTTTATACTTTCCTGATTGTGAAAAATGACTAAGAACTATCTTTTATTAGTTTAGGTAGCTTAATTATATAAAAACAACATGGGGTATCTGAACCTCTTAACGGTTAATGGTTCAGTTCAGGAACCTAGTTACTAGGTGGAACAGCCTCACAAGTAATTATTACTTCAACCTCAAGTAATCTCAGATCATTTTTTATTTGATCTGAGCCTTTAACTATAATAATATATTTAGTTCTAACTCTATTACGTATCCAATTACTTGGACTTTATAATAAAACGCAACATGATAACAAATAACTTACCATCACGGATTGTTATAGTAAATTGTTGCTTAGCAACATTGTTGACAACACTCAGAGCTTCCGAGGAAAAAGCTCTAACTGCTGCACGCGTCAACATTTTTTTCCAAACACTGAAAAAAGAAAATCAGAAAAAATATATGTTTAACAGAGCACTTCAGAGCCCGGTACTGTGATATTGATAATGCACAGATTCAGCACTATTTACTCATACTCACTGATAAAAATAAAATATTTTGAATTTCGTCACAACTTTTCAAGTTGGGGTGTCTGTCACTGTCACCTTTTTTTTTTGGTTAAGTTCTCCCTTTTTAGGGAAGGCAAGGGGAACAATGCCCATACAGCCTAGTCTTAAGTTAAATTATTCTGTTTTCCTTTTTACATTAGAATGTCGGTGTGACGCATTCTAATGTTTCTTTAAGTGCTTGGCACGAAATGTATCGAGCTGGCTTTTTCGATAAGCTTCTGTGAGGTAGACAATACTACAATAAAATCTCACGTCCACTTGACCGGAATAGCGTATATTTTGACGATTCTACTAATTCTTCATTTACGCAGACAGTTGTAACACAAAATCACACCAATTTTATTTCACAATATCCACTATGAACGAATTTAAGAATAATTAACGCCAACCACACTCGATGAAATCCCGCCAAAAACTCTCCTTTTTTTTTTGTTGAAGTTCTCCCGTTCTAGGGAAGGCAAAGGGAACAATGCCCATACAGCCGGGTCTTTAATTAAATTTATCTTCTTTTTGTTTATACATTAGAATGTCGGTGTGACGCATTCTAATGTTTCTTGGAGTGTTTGGCACGAAATGTATCGAGTTGGCTTTTTCGATAAACTTCTGTGAGGTAGTCAACACTACAATAAAATTCTCACGTCCACTTGACCGGAATAGCGTATATTTTAATGATTCCACTAATTCTTTAGTTACGCAGACAGTTGTTACACAAAACCACACCAATTTTATTTCACAATATCCACTATGAACGAATTAAAGAATAATTAAAATAAGACGCCAACCGCACTCGATGAAATCCCGCCAAAAACCCTTCATTTTTTTTTAGTTCTATTCTTCTCTATTGAGAAAGGCAAAGGCATAGCCATGCAGCCATCGTCTTATTTTTGTATTAATCTTCCTTTTTTTTACATTAGAATGTGGGTGTGACGCATTCTAATGCTTCTCGGAGTGTTTGTTGAAGTTCTCCCGTTCAAGGGAAGGCAAAGGGAACAATGCCCATACAGCCTGGTCTTTAATTAAATTTATCTTCTTTTTGTTTATACATTAGAATGTCGGTGTGACGCATTCTAATGTTTCTTGGAGTGTTTGGCACGAAATGTATCGAGTTGGCTTTTTCGATAAGCTTCTGTGAGGTAGTCAATACTACAATAAAATTCTCACGTCCACTTGACCGGAATAGCGTATATTTTAAAGATTCCACTAATTCTTCAGTTGCCCAGACGGTTGTAACACAGAATCACACCAATTTTATTTCACAATATCCACTATGAACAAATTTAAGAATAATTAAATTAAGACGCCAACCGCACTCGATGAAATCCCGCCAAAAACTCCCAAAAACCCTTCACTGTCACCTTGCTTGACATTGCCATTGTTTTTTTTTTGGTGAAGTTCTCCCTTTTCAGGGAAGGCAAGGGGAACAATGCCCATACAGCCTAGTCTTAAGTTAAATTATTCTGTTTTTCTTTTTACATTAGAATTTCGGTGTGACGCATTCTAATGTTTCTTTAAGTGTTTGGCACGAAATGTAGCGAGCTGGCTTTTTCGATAAGCTTCTGTGAGGTAGTCAATACTACAATAAAATTCTCACGTCCACTTGACCGGAAAAGCGTATATTTTGACGAATCTACTAATTCTTCAGTTACGCAGACAGTTGTGGCACGAAATCACACCAATTTTATTTCACAATAACCACTATGAACGAATTTAAGAATAATTAAAATAAGACGCCAACCACACTCGATGAAATTCCACCAAAAACTTCTGACATTGTTTTTTGGTTTTTAATCAATTTGTTTTGTTTTAGTACCTGTTGGGGTAGGCAAAGGATTTTTAGTCCATACAGCCTTTGTTTGTTTGGATAACTTTAATTTGGAAGTCAAAGGGAACTAAAAACTTGTGTTTTGTAAAATCGCCCCACGGGAAAGTAACAGTTTCGCTCATCTGTAGGCACTTTTCTCCAAAAATATATTTTCAAACTCTGAACCAATTAGTTCTTTATTCCAGATTTAAAATAAATCATAAATATTTAAAAACTAAGGAGCTATGAGTTGAGCGAATCAAAATTCCTTCATTTTAAGAACTAGCCAAATAGACAAGTGCATCCATTGAAACTGTTCGAAAATAAATGTGTAAAGTGGAGATGAAGAGCAAAACTGTGAATCCTCCTCACCTCGCACATATATAGAGAAAGTTATCACACATCTACATTGTGCTCAACTCCGCTCAGCGCTGTAAGGCTCCACCTCGCTCAACATGACAACGCTCCGCTCTGCCTAGCTTAACTCTTGTCAGTCTCCATAAGTGCGCTAATACTTGCTTAGTTTTTTGAGAGTCCCCCAGAAACCTTAATTTTTTTGGGATAAAAAGTATCCTATGTCTCAATCCGGGTAATAAACTAAATAAAGTACAAACTAAAAAACTAATATATGTGCCAAATTTCACTCCACTGAAGCGGAGCGGAAAAGAGATGTGTATTTGGTTTTTTTTTTCTGTTCGAAAAATCAGCATTATATCAAACATAAATAAAGTAGGATTGAAAGTTTTAGAAAATTTACAACAAACGAGCACGCGGGCGCTCCAAATGCATTAACAAAATTATTAAGACAACCTTATTTTGTGTGTTTACCTACCTTCTAATGTGAGCATAAAAATTCAAATGTTATATTTTAGTCCTTTTTTTAATTTTTTGGTAAAATTTAGTATTGGTTTGTTATAATATTAATAAAAATGCACTCGGACATATTTTTTGTTTTGAAATTACCTTCGATGGGTTTAAATTGTGGATATTTTTGTCTCATTTTAATTTTCTCTCTATACAGATTGTTTTAATTAATTTTATACATTGATAGTTAGAACACTGTTTCATATTATACGGGAATGGGCGTTAATTCTACAACACAGTTTTTGTAAAACTAAAGCAGTTTTAACGATTCATAATTTTATGCTTGTTCCAAATAAAGTTATTGTTATTATTATTTTTGCTGTTAATTCTTTCATATTCTACCTTCTTCTACCTACACATATTTTTTCTCGTGGTTATTTATATGTTATGACTAACATGTTTTTCTAGTTGCACCTATTGAACTCGACTTGAGATGATATTAAACGTTGAGAGGTTGAACCACTAGTTGGCCTTGACCGTCAGTTGCCTACCAATTTGGTATCGATCTACCAGCGCTGGGAGTTAGGCACGTATAAAAAATGAGTTTAACAAAATTCGCCTGAGTAGCGAGTGTGTATAAGACATTGTAGGAGTTCCGTATAAAGGTCTCAGAAGTATAAAGGTACAACACGTACCAATACCAACGCGCAAGGTTTAACTTAAGAAATACATAAAATCACAGAAAACACGTTTTTTCTAAAGGAAACATAACTTTTTATAAAAAAGTTTATAGTATAAAAGAAATAATAAAAATTATTCACTTTGATAAAACGTAGTAAAAAAAGATTAAGTACATGTTTTCCTAGCTAGTTTAGTAAGAAAAAAATTCTACGGTTTCTGTAGTCAAAGAAAATGTAGGGAGGTGTCTAGGTTAGGTACAACTTTATACTACTAAGGTAGGTACTTAGCATTGCAGATACCACAACAGATATTGCTGGTCAGTGATGTATTTAGGTACTTACACAAGCACTTTGAGTATGAATGAATATTAAAAAGGACTAGCCGCGACTTCATCCGCGTTAACCTTATTTTTTTGATAGTCCCTCAGGAACCTAACATTTTGTTCGGGATAAAAAGTATCTTAAGTCTCAATCCGGGTAATAAACTATATATGTGCCAAATTTCATCCAAATCGTGTTTTTGAAGTTTGGTTGATCAGTAACAAATATACAAAATATTAGTAGGATATAATAGTAGGAAAGTGGGATCACAATACTTCAGTGTATTTGGCCATCCCAAAAGATATCGGAAATGAAATAAAATGAAAAATGAAAAAACCTTTATTGGCCATCTTACATAATAAAAATACTATAAATATAAAGAAAAAATAAAAGAGGAACTTAACCTAAAAACAAAAAATAACAACATAAAACTGAGACGGCCAATCAGGACCCTGCCTCAGCTTATGCTGACACAGTAGTGGGAGAATACTCTCTCACTCTATCAGCGCTGGTGTTCTGGCAGGGCCTGTGCGAGGACGTGTTAGGCGCTAACAAGCAACAAAACAATACATTTGTAACAATAAATACAACAATGCCTAACTAATCATATTGTATTGCGCATACACACATACATACATACCTACACACGCTGATATAAATATATATATATATATATATATATATATATATACATTAAATACATAAAATGACATAATCCTAAATAAATAAATAAAGAAACGCAGCGCAGTACTCCGACGCTCCCGCACCGCATCCGATAATGGTGTCGATTCTGTCATGACTCTCCAAACCCAAGACCAAACCTACACCAGTCCCCCTATCATTTTGTATAGAGAATGACAAGGATACACTGCCGATAGGATGAAGTTTTGATGTTCGTGACCTTCGACAGCTTTATGCATTATACATGAGAATGCGTGTTCATAAGGCAATGCTAATTAATAAATCTATTGTGAATATGACATCTATCCAGAATAGTAACAATAGTACAGTCGAGCGAAACACATAGGTTGCACTTGAAGCACGAACTCGGTCTTATTACTACTTCCGTTGTCCACCACGAGGCCTACCAGTGCTATATCATGAATCATCATTGGTCACCATAGCACGGTAATATTATATACAGTATTCTATCTTCAATAAACGGTCAGAAAGCGAATCATACCTACGCCACTCGAGTTCGCGGGACTCTCGGGGGACACCGAGTCGCGAATACGCCGCAGATACGACCGAACGGTGTGAATTGTTTTTTATGCAGTTAGCCGTGCTTAAACGTGCGATTTGTATTGTTAATATTTGATTGAATTAAGTAGATACCTACATAATTTAATATGCCAAAGAACAAACGACGATATTGTGCTGTTTTTGGTTGCTTGAACTCTTCAATAACGCACCCAGAGATATCATTTTTTAAATTACCTGAAATATTGGAAAGGTAAGACTATAGAATATTTTTTATATAGCTATCTACTAGTACGTTATTTGTTTTTAATATTTAGGTATTCCGATTTTTCCATCGGGAAAAATATCTGGAATAATATATAAATAATTGGATAGAGTGAAAAAAGAGACAAACGAGTAATCTACCTAAAGTCGCGTTAAAAACAAAACTACATAATAGGTAGGTAGTTTCCTAGACTAGGCTATCGACTTACTTAACTTAACTACATACATTATTGAATTAAATGAAATATCATTATGAAATAATTTACGAGGATAATAAATGGCAGGTATTGTAGTGATCGAATATTTTTGGTGTATACTGGAAGGTTATTAGGTAATTTGGAAAAAAGACGGATTGTTGACAGGAATTGATAGCTGGAAAATATTAAAATAAGGGAGATTTGTGCGGAGTTTAAAAAACAGTATTTTGTTTATTGATAATAATAATGTAATTTCTTGAAAATAAAAGTGTTTCAATGACAATAATTAGTTTGCATGAAACGATCCCTACAGTACCTACCTAGTAAGATTTACCTACATTGTAGGTAATTTCCTTTTTACCCGACTACGCCATGACTAACAAATAAATATAACTTGTATGTTTAAAATAATATTATTTTATTGAATTATGTAAGAATAAAAATCATCAGTCGGGTTTTTACAAGCTTTTAATTAACTTGCAATATAGGTAGGTATGTAACTATGTTTGTTCGGGTGTTGCAACTCTATTTTGAAACAGATATCTTCAACAGGTTGAGCTGAAATTTTGTATATACACGTTTTGATTAAAAAGCACTGTTAGCTGTGTGACGTCGTTCTAAATCCAACATGGCGGAATAGTTATTTTTAATGCATTCCTACGATATGGATATCAAATTAAAGGAAAGGGCTTGCGGAGAATAGCTCGAAATATAAAGTTACGTCACTCTAAATCCAACATGGCGGAACACCCAAGATGGTAGACTAGTTTTTTTCATTGCACTTATACAATATGGGTATCAAATGAAAGGACTAATGAAAGGAGATAACGATTGCGAGTTAAGCTCCGTTGCTCCATTAAATTTATATTAAATAAAAATAAAAATTAAATGCTCTAAGAAGAATAAAATAAACTTTTGAGTTTTACTATCAACTTATAACGTCAAAATAAAATATTTACAATCACAAAACTAGAAAGAAACTCAATTATGTAGATGAAATTAAAATACTGTAGGCGGGCAGTCCTACCGCGTGGATCAGCCCCGCTCGGCCGTAGGTAGTTATTTCAAGGACAGGGCCCAGTCACAATACTGTATAGATAATATTACCGTGACCATAGTCTATAAATAAAGTCTCAATACGTCCCGCACGTATTGAGACACACTTATACTATATATCTTGTTAATTTCAGCTTACTTACTTAAACGTTGCGTTGAGGAATGTTAATTTCCCAACTTTTTAAGTTCGATTTAAGTTGGTGTTGTTATTTTCTTTTGCGATAACAACAGATTAATACCGTAAGATACATCGATGAATCTTAAATATAAATTGACGTATTTTACCCGACTGCGTTAAATCATTTGTTAACGTTTTTTTTTTAATTAAACAGTTATTTTCCACCCCTGGCTTCAAAAAGATTTCATAAACAAAAGCGATGATAAAGTGAAACAAAATAATTCATTCGATGAGCAAAATTATTATTAGCAGTTAGTAAAGCACCTACTCCCACTGACCACTGAACACACCCGTGCAGTACATATTTGTTTAGGATATTGGAACTTTTCAAATCGAATACTTACAATTACTAAAAATAAAACTAGTCTTGATCGATCGCTTGGTGTTCAAATCCTTAAAAAGGATTTAAAGTATCTAATGTATCAAGTTTTGTTATTGTAAAATCATATTTTTTACGGTTATTTGTCTACAATCAGCGACTTTTGTGAAGCTTTTGCGTTTGATAAAACGTTTGATTATAATTTTGAACGGGTTTTATAGCTACGGTGCACACAAAATGATCTTAATCTAAAGGTCAAGTATCATGTAAAATATTACTTAATTATGCTTTTTATTATAACCTCAGATCAAATAACTTTTATTTAATGTGTCTAAGCTCGTCTCAGTCATTAAGTGTATTTTATGTTTGGGTGGGATCGAAAATATAACAATATTCATTATCTTAAGTAACAAACTAAGCTACATTATCTATATCGAAAAATATTTTTAACCGTTTTCTAACAAAAAAGGATAAGTATAAGTGTACCTATTCGTAGGTGTATGTTTTCTTTTGAATTAAAACACTATTTATTCTGTGCTTAGAATAAACATAAAAAAAATATACAGTCGAACATAGAACCTCCTCCTTTTTTGAAGTCTGTTAATTAATATGACGTTTTATATCCTTAATTTTAGAAATGATTGAGGTAAATATAAACAGTGTACATGGTATGCATGGACAAATGTCTGAAAATAGAAATTTCATAATAATTTAATTTAAATCCTATTGTCCCTCTGCAAGCTATAGTCTGTCACTAAAATTCATAAAAACATATGCCGCGGCTTTGAATTTAAATTTATTTTGTTTAGTAAGCTTCAAAAAGCTCTTCTAATATTGGTCGTGCTTAGTTCCGTTTCGTATATTAAGCACCTGCAAAGCTTAAAATCCTTTATCAGAGATTAGGGTTTTATAACAAATTGACGATACATGGTGGAGTGCGCCGGGCAACATGCGCTCGCGCCGGTCAGTCGCACGGCTGGCGCTGCGCGCGCGACGCGCATTCTTGTGTAAATTTAAAACTTCGAATCTTAAAGCGCACGATATCGGAACCTGCAATATGTGAACTGTGAAGGACGTGCATTTATGACATCTGTGGATTTTTATAAATAAGATGTGTGTGGGTAGTGATGATGACGACTCACTCTTTCAGTAAGGTTCATGAATAAATAAATAAACCACAAATCTTTGTCGTCTTGTTAGGGGTATCAGTCATAAAATGATACTTAGATTGAAATTCTTCATATATTCAAGAATTTTCTGTAGTTCTTTAAAAAATCGTGAAAATTTAACTGCCGCATGTAATTCCAGAGGGGGATCTTATTCTTTCAAAAGTTTTAAACACGTTTCATTATTTTAATTTCTTTTCCTTTATTTCGTGATCATAAATGCACAAAAGATCCATTGCAGAACTAATATATAAGCATTTAATTAAGCCATTATTGCTCATAATTTTTCAAACATTAAACACCAAGAATGTCTGAGGAAAAAAACTTTTACATTGAGTAGTAGTTACAAAATTTTTACGAAACAATTTATGTTACTTTATGGAAATGAATTCGATTTCACTTGGCATTACGTTATGCATATAATATGTTTGAAAATAATGTTTCTGTCTTCATAGTTTTAATGGGCTATAAATTTACATTCATGAATTCATGTAAATATTAGCTTTGATCATGAAGAGTTAAAATAAATTGCTCTTCAATAATATTAATTAAGTACCTACTAGAAAATTATTACGTGAAAACATTTTACAAATTGAACCTAAATGTAAATTCAGTAACTGTCAAAAGATGAATTATCTTTTTTATGCTTGGTTATATTTTTGACTATCATAATTAGATCGTGTTTGATAAAGTACAAATGAGATATAAATGTTAGAACGTTTCGTAAAATATGAAAATTAAAAGTTTTTTAAAGTTCGTCGCCTAAGTACTGTAGTAACTTTTTTAATAATGCTTCATTTACAAATGCAAGTACTTACAAAACAAAGGCTATTTTAATTATTTACAAATATATAAATAAACAAACCAACCGTTTGGCAGTAGATTGTATTTAACCAACATTAGGATAGGAGCTTTTGTTAGTTGTCACACCATATTTTTCTTAGTTACAGTGTAAATTAAATATGTTCCAGATGTGTTTAAAGGATTAACAGATCGTGAAGTGAATTGATAAATTCTGTGAAGTGTCTGTTCAAATACAAGTACCTAGTGATATGTGACTCAGTGTGGTCCGTGCAACTTATGGGGCAATGCGTATCCCGGGGTCATCCGGGCCCATACTCGTTCTCCAGACATTATGATGCTGAAAGCCTTGCCAGCAGCGTCAGTGGATTCACTAAAAGGGTACGCTATACTTTGTTTAACTTAGCCTAATGCTACTCACACACCTGCGCGACGAAGCTTTGGTACTAAAATGCGCTAAAATATGCGTTTGAACTTTCAAGTCCACTCCTTTATTTATTTTAATCTTTTTCACCAAAATACTGTAAATGGCGGACTTAGTACCATAGGCATTCTCTACCAGTCAACCGGTAAGGGTGTAGGAGATGAATGTTTCCTACTACAAATCCTTTAGCTGCACATACGTGCAAGGTGAGTCGTTACGCTCCCTAAAATATGGTTGAACAAAGCGATGGCTGATTCATGCGTCATGCTCGTGAACTTGTACTCCCAGCGGAGATGAGTCTGCCCTAACTACTTTGATATTTAAGATGTAAATGTTTAGTAACACCTATTATAAATAACTCTATTTGTATTTATACTGTATGACACAGCAATCAAAATGCAGATGAACATTAATGTATAATTTCACATGATGTAATGAAAGGTGACTCGATGAATCATCTCTGAAGTCATTTTTCAACTTGACGGCTCTGTAAATAATAAAACGGAGAAAAAAACAGCCCTTCCTGAGTTTCTTGCCGGTTCTTCTCAGTACAAGGTCTCCCGCCGTAGATTTATGAACCGATGGCGTAGCTTCTAGACATTCTTATGTGCTTGTAACAGCCTAAACTAAATAAATGATTTTGATTAGTATGATTATTATACAAATTTATCGTCTTCCACAACCTCTTTTATGCGTGTTAAATTATCGCAGATCAAGTTATCGTCTAGCATCTGTGTATAGACACTCAGGCCTATAATTCATTACGATTGGACGCTAATTTTCGATCATTTATTAGCAAAGTCACCCAAAGCTTGGTCGCGCACGTGGCTAACACACATAGCCGTAGCGTAGCCTCCTTATTTATAAACGAGGAATAAGTTTAGAATAGTTACGCCGTGTTTTGTTCATGTCACTCAAGTGCACTTTGTAATTCAATGAAACAGCGACAAAACATAGAGTAAATAATCCCAGCTTATTCTTTGTTTATTAATAAGGGTCTACTTGCACTTACGTGTCGTACTACCTAGTCTGAGAAGGTTCTCAACATGCATACAATTAGTTATACATGTAAAGAATATTTGGTAAACTTAAAAAGACAAAGACATGAAATAAACATTAATAGGAAAGGCAGAGTCTTAGCACAGAGTTCATTCCTCCTTAAAAATCCCTTGAGTGTTTCCACCTTAAGAATTTATTATGTAACTTTAAACCTTATTAAATTTATTGCTAATTAAATGATTAAGTTAAGGTAGTCGTGTAAGTCAAAAAGCTTCGCAAAGCTTGTCTGTTAAAAACCAAAAGGTATCTTTATTATTTAAAGTCATTAATAAAAAAACCGGCCAAGTGCGAGTCGGACTCGCGCACCAAGGCTTCCGTACAAACCTGTAGGTGATAAAACTTAAATTTTACAGTTTTTGCAATTCTTCCTTTATCTGTACTACCTATAAGACGTTACTTCGTACCAAATTTCAAGATTCTAAGTTCACGGGAAGTACCTGCACCTTCCTCGGTTAGCAGGTTCAGTCTGATTCCTGATCCGATTGGAATGTTTTCTAATTACGCGCTAAAATTTTTGTTAGCGCGACATTCAAAGTACAATCGAATCAATTTATTTTTTTTATAGATGGGTCCGAAAAATGACTCCACTTGATGTTAAGTGTCGGTGAGGTCCAGATGCGAAGATAGCTGATACAGCAGTTCTTCCTGCCACACCAGCCATTCTCACCCTGCCGGCCTGCATGATGCTTCTTCACGCCTCTTTTAAAATCTTTCTGACCTACGTGCCCGATAATTCGCTTAAGAATGTCAAAACAAACAAGTTTTCCCTTGTAGATAATGATTAATAATAATTGCACTTAGGACCTTCTAGTAACAAGAAAATTGTGTAAATATGGTTCAAAGATCTTTGAAATTTGACCTTTATTTTCAATGCGAATAGTTCTGATAGATACAATTGAAATAGAAGTTTGAATTTCGAAATCACTTTTAAAATCGTAAATGTAACAGGAACACTTTCGATTTCTTGACATTATAAAAAACATTGGTAAACTAATAGGCAAATCCTGAGCCAATAGGGAAAACTCCAAAAAATTTAATGTCAAAATTATGTCACAGGAATGCGGCAAAATATGTCACGTCAAATATTCTTTTATTTTTCAGAAAATAACAAGTTTGTTTCGAAGGATACGTAAATCTATTGTTTTGAAATAGTTGTAAGAAAATAAGCTTTTTGTGGATCAGGAATCAAATTGGCTATAGTACCTGCTGTGTAATCTCACTGCGCCACACCTATGTACCTACACCATTTGTGTCTATTGCTTTTGTTGTTTCCATCGCAAGTTATCAGTGGAACCATCAGTAGGTTGCGGCCACAGAGCCTCCATTGATCGGAGTCACGCCTCGCGAGCCGCGATCGATAATAGCGATAGATACGATCTTACAGTATGAATGTAAACTGAAAGGAATGGGAGCAGTAGTTATGTACTTTACTATGTCGTGTGCTGTAGGAAGAAGTAGAAAAAGGTTTAGCGGTGATAGGAATTAGATTCATCTTTATACTTTTGTAATAATAGAATGAGGAATCATTCCATTTTATCACTCTATACAATGCGCCTCATGTTTACTTCATTATTGGGTGATTAGAGATCAAATATAACAGTTTTCTTGCTATCGTGAAAAAAAAACGTTGAACATAAAAAAACCTGTTTTTTTTGGAGTAAGTTTTTTTTCGCCTGTGCATAATTCAAAATTATTAATGAAGTTTCTGTTAACTATTAATGCTTATTAGTTCATATTAAAAAAACTGTTTATCAAACAAGCTTTCAACAATTGGCAACACTCATGACGTACGGGAAAATCCTCGAAATGCCCGTTCGGTTTATGTATGTTTGAAGTATGAATGCAGTCAACAGAGCGCATTTGCAGAACGTTAATTTTTTGTTAAGTCTGATCGGATATAACATACATATAAAATACATTTATTATTCAAATTAAAAAAAAACAACGGTCCTAAGTTTATTCATGTTCTTTTTTGAAAAATGGTAAAAAAACAGTTTGCTCTTTTTCATTTTCTGTGTGTGGTACCGTATTTTAACCTTATTTGTAATTCCCGAACAGAACGCGTGAAAATGTAAAAAAATTGCCGGAATCGAAAAACCAATTCTACATAAAATGCCTATATGTCTTATGAGATCTATGAGATAGACATCAACGCGCGAAATTTAAATACAGGTTCTCCTAATTATTTCTTTATCACTGACGCGTAACCTTCCCTGACCTTTCCGCTACCCTGTGGGCTCTGGATATCTTATTCACTAGAAGAGTAGAATATTAAAGAATACTATTTGTTTCTTACATTTTCACGCACATCACTCATTAAATAAAACAAGTTTCAACGGGTTAGATGCACTAATTTTATTTATCGACATACTATACGACGACGCATTCCTGCAAATGCTGCGAAACGTCAATAAATAAATATGTAAAATCAGTGCATCTAGCCGGTTGAAACTTGTTTTATTTAAAGAATACTGTTTTTGGTTTCAGTCTTCTATAAGATGGTTTCTTCCCCAGGCCGGCGCTCCAATGTGATATTTGACAAGTTTTAGGAAAAGATCTCACGTGATTTACTAATGTTTATGGAGTCCATAAATTGTTATGGATATTCATCATTCTGTTATGTATTTCAGTTAAAAAAAACTAAATCTTATATATAAAATTCTCGTGTCACAATGTTAGTTACCATACTCCTCGGAAACGGCCTGACCGATTTTTATGAAATTATATATGCATATTCCGTGGGTCTGAGAATCGGCTACTATCTATTTTTCATATCCTTTAGTGATAATGGTTGTCCACCTGTAACGTAGTGTTCTGAAACCTACAATGCGCCTTCGCGCCAAAATTCAAACTATTGGGTATTGTAACGTAGTGTTCTCTTATGGGTTAGGAGGAATGTTATCCCAAGAAATTGATAGAACACTACGTTACACACCCCTAAAATTTTTGAAAATATTTATTTTTTTATAATGTGGTATTAAAAAATACATACTACCCTAAATTTTCTCTTCTACCACCTGTCCCTATTTTTATGGCGGTACGAAGTTCGCTGGGTCAACTAGTCCAAATATAAATTTTCATGTTGCCGCGAAAACGTTTCTCTAGATATTATGCTGGTTAACTGTTTTATGACGTCATACGACTGTAATATAATAAAATGAACAAATTAGATTTCACTCTTATCTAAACTTAAATGACTATATAAGTTTAGATAAGAGTGAATTACCTCCAATAACAGTTGGGGTGCCACAGTTCTACTGCGATATCGCTTATGAGTGTGTATTTTAGTTACTTCTTCACTTCTAAACAGCTGAAGCGATTTTAATAAAATTTGGTATGGAGTTAGCTGACACCCTGGATTAACATATAAGCTACGTTTTACTACGGGAAAATATCCCTTAGTAACCGCGGGTATCACCGCGAAGCACAGCTAGTTACATTTAAGTACTTAATCTTAAAACAACATTTTGGATATATGTATTGTGAAATGTTAAATTGTTATGTCACAGAGTCTGTTACATTAACAATGATCAATTAATAATCACTTGTTGTACCGCCTATAGGCAAGCGTGATTTCATTACTATTACAATACATTACATTCGCCTATGTAGGTTAGGTATTTGCATGATCACTATCAACGACCATTCAAGTGACGCACTTACTTTTTAGTTTTATTTAATAGACACAGCAAAGTTACATTAGTGTGCATTTGGAACAGTAAGTAAAAGCGTTGCCAGTTTTTTTCTGCCAAGTCGGGATTTAAGAACTTTTTGAAAAAAGCGGGACATAGTGAAAAAAACGCATATAATCAAAAGTTATTGAATATTTATATTCATTACTTGTCTGTCCACACTTGTCTGTGCCACCCGCTTGCGCTTTCTCAGTACGCAGCACGCA